TCTCTTTTTCATTCAGTGACCTCTTGACACAACCTTTTCATTAATTTCAAAGATCCAGGAACTTTACTGATGGTCTCCACTGTCGAGACAATTTACTTGTTTAAAAATAAATAAAGATTAAATTTAATCTTTTACCAGACTTACTTTCGATCGTTCCTAACTGTCTACTAATTTTTCACCTTTTATGCAAAGTTTAACGACCTTTCCTTTTTTTTCACCCAGAAAAATTGTGATAAATTACAGGAAAGAACACGTTTTATATATATTCTCAGGATACGTTGTTAGTCTTGTCTACCGTCAGAAAAGAAATGGCAACCTACAGCAGGAAAAAAACTGGGTCCGCAACAATGTATCGAAAGATACATGATCGCCTAAATGTCTATCACGCATGGCACATAACTGACTGACTGACAATTGGGAAAGGTATGAATTCTCTTATTCTCCCCTCCCCTAGCTAAGGGTAAATAGTAGGGCAGACTGGGTTCTATAGCTTTGGATGGCAACTGGTCTACCGCAGAAAGAAATGGCAACCTACTGCAGCAAAAAAAAATCTGCCTCGTCAGTCATGTATAGAAAGATACATGATCGCGTGTATTACGCATGGCACATAACTGACTAAACTCCATCTTTTATCCCTTACTTTTTATCTAAGTGGTAAATAAGAGAATAGACGGAACCGTCTAAGCTCAGATGGCAACAACTCAAGAAGAAAAACGATTGTGAAGGCAATAGGTAACCACACCTCTAACTTCCCAATGAATAAATGGCAATTCATATTTTTTAGTTTTGTTCACACTGTAGATCCTAGGGCCAATCGTGGCAGAGCGTTACAGACAGCTTATGCGGATATGTGTGGAAGATTGCAATTAACCCTAGATTTAAACAGGTTAAATTTTAGTAATCGAAAAAGCTTACTCTTGGGAATCGATTCCTCAGAGCAGTGGTTCGTGGGAAGAAATTGGTTTGGTTGGATCGCTACAGTGTGCATTGCATGGTTGATCTTAGCCATGAAGGTTAGAACTGAGTTCTCACTATGGAAAAAGGGCAGCTAGAGTCTTGTGACGTCTCGTCTGTGAGAAAGAGGTTGCAGAATGGACTCCATCGAAAGTAGAAAGTGAAGAATTGGCATCTCCCACCTATATAATGATTTTCCAAACGTGGCTTAGATGTGGAACAAGGCCAAAAGTAGGGGACACCCAGTGAGGATCGAATTCACTGTTCAGTTGTAATTGTTATAGCGAGACAAGCTTGTTAACCATTACATCGCCTCGGTGTTCCCAAATGATTTTCTAAGCATAGTGTAGATGTGGCACAAGACCGAAAGTATTTGGCACCCAGTGAAGACTGAACTCACTATTCAGTCGTAATTGTTCTAGCGAGACAAGCTTGTTAACCATTACACCGCCTTGGGGTTCCCAAATGATTTTCTAAGCATAGTGTAGATGTGGCACAAGGCCGAATGTATGGGACACCCAGTGAGGGTCGAACTCACTATTCAGTCGTAATTGTTCTAGCGAGACAAGCTTGCTAATCATTACACCGCCTTGGGATGCCCATCTCCCACCTATATATGGTAGCAGTACTCCACTTTCGACCTCACCTGACTCTTGTAAAGTTAAAGGTCTCTACCTTATGAATGAAGAATTAGGTACACCCTGGAGCGGTACAGGAAACCTTTAGCGATCGACTGTATGTACGACTTCGACGAAAAATAATCCGCAGAAAGCTATGATCGTCTACGACCTGAAGTAAGAGTTTATCCAACTTTTATCAAACTTAAAAATATTTTCATTTTAATTGAATCTGCGTTGGCCATGATTTTTGAAGATTTTATTTCATATTGAAAGGATTGACGTTTGGAGTCTCACAATGAATCCATTTTTCATCGCTCGTGACTCTCCTGTCGTGAAATAACATATTCTGCGTCGTTCATGTAACTAAAGACAAAACTTTAAGTCCGTCAGTTTCCACAATTCCGTTTGGAAGACAATGTACTGACTTCTGAATTTCACTTAATGACATAGTCGATTTAAATAGCAACTTAATCATTTAAACTAAGTAGACACCTCAATCAGTAATGTGCCATACGTGATACACGTTTAGGCGATCATGTATCTTTCGGTACATGAGTGACGAGGCAGATTTTTTTCCTGCAGTAGATTGCCATATCTTTCTGCGGTAGTTAGTCGTAGAACACAGTCTGTCCTGCTATTTACCTATAAATGAGGTGGGGGGAAGATTCTTCATACCTTTCCCAGAGGTAGCTTGTTAGTGAATGTAATGGATTCGACTGGAATTCGAACTCGGGTCTCCGATTCCTCAATCCGAGCCGCTATCCATTACTCCACCGGAGACACCTAGCAAGATCAAAAACAAGGCCTGTCAAAGGGCGGATGGAACTTCTCGTAGTGTCGATAGCCATCTAACCCAAATGGGTCGGCTGGTTTCCATAGCCATGCATGCAGCCAATGATGTGATGACGCAGCAACGCTAGGGGTGGCCTTCCTGGAACTGAAGCGAACAGCCAGGACGGAGGTTTCCATCGGTGTAATCAACAGTTACATTCCCGTGACCAAGGTGAGCATTCAAGGTAGTTTGTCCGGGAGAAGGATGGGCGCCGCCAGGTCTATTTTCCAAAGACACGTTAAGCTAATGAACATGTGGCAAGAAATGTTCAGGTGCCCAGTTGCGCACTGACCCTACGACTAACACTGATAATGGGGTCGGGGGTGCTGCTACTGTTAATGATGATGATTGAATGTGACTGGAAAAATGGATAAGAATTCAATAATGATAACGGTAATATCAGCCGTTTCCTTATAAGGAAAAAGTATTCATTGACCGATCTGTTACCGGTTGAAATTTAAAAAATATTTCATATTAAAACATTTTATTCGGGAGAATAGGCTTCTAAAGTCCATTATTTACATTATTCGAACTATTGTTCTCATTTTTGTCGCCATATTTATCACAACGTTTCGGCCATTGTACGCTCCGGCCTTGTTCAGGTAGTTGGAATGTCGAACTGAACCCTTTATAACTGACATCCATTAGACATGACACGTGGAACTAGAACAGTGAGCGAAATAAAGGGTTTACTTCGACATTCCAACCACCTGAAGAAGGCCGGAGCGTTCAACGGCAGAAATGATGTGATAAACATGGCGACACAGATGAGGACAATAGTCCGAATAATGTAAATAGTGTACATAATACCTCGTCTCAGAAATATAGACAGCGTCTACAGTCCATTAACTGTTATCGGTCTTTCCAGTATTATTAGGAGTTTCCTGTCTAAGCCTTTTTAGGTAGTGTTGAACGTCAACATCTTGATTATGTTCTTATTTTATCTTCGAGTTGCATATGCCATGCATTTTAATTGTTGCTGTTTATGAAAGTCTTCAAGCGAGGAGGTTTCTGTTATTTGTGACAATACTTTATGATTGTGTAGCTCCAATGAGGTTTTCAAAAGGATGGTCCTCAGTCAAACCTACAGGATTCATTCACTGGGTCGTCCTGGGTATGACGATAAACTACATCAGGCAGCAAGGCTTCAGATTGGAAGGTTTTGAGGAGCGTGAAAGCACCTTTTAATTGCTGTTCCCACGTCCACCCTGACCCGGGGTGGTAGCACCTGTTAGGGTCCTAGTTATGGGAGAATACTTAACCCCCAAACTGGGGATCAAAACATGTAAATGTAAAAATAGATTAGAAAAAAGTACAAGCTATATATTTTGGGAAAGGAAAGAGAATAAAATTTCGGCATTAAATGGCCCATATGCCGTTAAACAAACAGACCAAAAGAAACTATTCACTGGAAGCGATGTTTAACATTGATCTGAGAAAGCGGTTGTATACATTTGATAGTTTATACATTTTTTCTATCATGAAAAGAATTCCGAGGTGAAAACCCAAACGAAAAACGAATGTACATTGACAAGATACATTTATCCACAACCTCCACATTACTGGGCAAATTCCTCCACTTTCTGTGGAACTTGATTGACAGACTTGTTTTTTACGGCTCGTCAAACTTTTGCATGTTATTTTAAACCAGAATATATATTTTTAGATTTTAAGTACTTTTTGGAAGTTATCTAATAAAAATCATGCTAATTAACCCATAGCTGGAGGGGCAGAGGTAGATTCATAAGTGAATATAAAAACTTGACTGGAATTGGAACACATCCAAGAACCATACCGCCTGCACATCCAATCTTACAGCACATGATATTACTAAGTGTCCACCCATCTAGGGACTGAGCAGGCTGGCCGTTGCTTAACTTGTGGTCATTGTACGAAATCCGGTGTTTCAACTTGATATACCCGCAAGCCATACTACTTGAACATTCAAGTATAGAGTATCTGGTATTCCCCACCGTTCACCCATCTAGGTACTAACCAGGCTGGCCGTTGCTTAACTTTGTGGTCATTGTACGAAAACCGGTGTTTATACTTGATATGATCGTAAGCCATACTAATTGAACATTCAAGCTTACAGCATCTAATATTCGGCAGCGGTCACCCATCTAGGCAATGACTAAGCTCGACATTGCTTAACTTCGGTGATCGAACAAAACCCGGTGTTTCAAGGTGATATGGCAGCACATTCAAGCTTACAACACCTAGTATTCGCCAGCGGTCACCCATCTAGGTACTGATTAGACACGACGTTGCTTAACTTTCGTGATCGTACGAAAAGCGGTGTTACATTGTGATATGGCCGTAAGCGAAAATCGGTATTCGCCAGCTGTCACCCATCTAGGTACTGATTAGACACGACGTTGCTTAACTTTCGTGATTGTACGAAAATCGGTGTTTCAGTATGATATGTCCGTAAGCCATACCATCCGTACATCGAAGCTTACAGTGCATTATATTCGCCAGCGGTCACCCATCTAGGTACAGACCAGACTTGACGTTGCTTAACTTTCATGACTGTACGAAAACCGGTGTTTCAGAGTGATATGATCGTAAGGCATATCACTTGCATATTCAAGCTTACAACACCTAGTATTCGCCAGCGGTCACCCATCTAGGAACTGACTAGACACGACGTTGCTTAACTTTCGTGATTGTACGAAAATCGGTGTTTTAACGTGATATGGCCGTAA